AAGTGTCTTCCAGCTCCCGGCGTATCGCCTCCACGTGCCCTGGACTCTAAGCAACCAGCCAGCGGGCTGGGGTCGTTGGGGGACTTACCTGAGGCACCCCACCAAGCTCTAACCAGCCCCTTCCCCACCCCAGAGTCAGGACTGAGCTGGGGGACGAGATGCTCTAATGGCACCAGAGGCGGCAGAAGGCGGCGTCAGGGATCTTAACCAACGGCCTGGGCTCCTGGCCAAGCCTGGTCTGCGGAAAGAGGCAAGGCTGTCTCTTCCCATGCCTCAGGTAGCTGAACTAGAATCCAGTCTAATGCATTTACCGGCTGAGGGGGCAGGGGGAGTAATCATAGGCCTTTTTCAGACTGTCTAGCAACCCATGAACTCTCCCCCGAAACATCCATAATCTTCCGTGCAAATTCTGGTCTTTCTGGAGTCCCAGAGCCGAAAGCAGAGCTCAGAAAACCCCGACGCCCAACGATCAGAGGGCTGCTACTGCGCCCTGGTCCCGAACTAGCGTACGTGCGCCTGCCGCGGACTGGGAGGACCCGGGATCCTGCTTTCGCCACCTCCGTCCGAGACCACGGCTTTCCCAGGGAAGTCCACCGGCCACCCCCGAGCTCTCTACCGCCCGCGTCCCGGCTGCGTCTAAGGGACGAGGATCGTGCCTTGCTCTCCTAGGGCCTCAACTCGGGAACGCCTGCTCCGCGCGGGAGAAAGCGTGGAGGCTCTAACCTGGGGGCGGAGGCAAGATCCAGGCCTGGGCTCAGGTTCGGCTCGGTCCCTTGCTCGCTGTGCGCAGTGGAAAAGTCCACGCCCTTTCGGGTCCGACTGGCCCTTTCACCGCCTCTGCGGAGCTCCTGGATGTCCGAGCTTGCTCCTGAGCTCCCTGCTCCGGGCACTCGCGGGCAGGATTGGGACCGGGAGCCGAGAAAAATGCGAGGTGCTTGTTCGAAGCGCGTCAGGAGGCTGATGGCGAAGTGCAAGCCAAGCGGGGTGGCAGGAAGCACAAGGCTCCTTTGTCTGGGTCTCTGGTCCTCCGTCCGGTCTCCGGGGTAATGATGATTATCTGTTCACGGGATTAAAGTGAACCAAATGGAAAGAAAGCACTAGAAGCGGGGTTGCCGCGACCGAGCTCCGCGGGTTCCCGCGCTGCCCTGGGAGCCGAAGGAGGCCACACTCGCGCGGACCTCGAAGACTGGATACCCCTGGCAGGCACAGAAAACATTTTACTAAATCAATCGCTACTTCTTGGAAGGGGGCATCTCATCTCTGCCCACGAGTGGAAACAACTTGAATTTTTCCCAGAGGTTTCTTTTTTATCCACGCCCAAGTTTCGCCCTGAAACCTCTTTAAAAGGGGAAGAAAATGATCACGGTCTTGGATTGGCGATGCGCCCCCACTCCATCCTCTCGACTGTCTGGAAGAGGAACGACAGGTAGAGGATTCCCCCACTTCATAGATGGGAAAACCGAGGTCTAAAAAGGGTAGCGGATGGCTCAAGGCCGCCGGGCCTGTAATGGGCTACGTGTAATCGGAGGTCTTCCTCTGCGCGGCGCTGTTGTGCCCATTGGCTGGGCTGTAACACGGGACCCCCTTTGTGGTAGTCTTGCGCTTATGCTCTCTGAGGCCATGCAGCTCTCCGATCCTGACGGGCTGCCCCAGAGTAACCAAACAGAGGTCACTGTGTTCACGCTATCCTGAAATTCTTGGATCTGATTTGCAAGCATCAGGGTCTGTAGTTTCCGTTATCGCTCCTTAAGCAGAGTGGATCAGACCAGACCATTAAGCACAATCAAGGCACTGAGAATTCAGGAAAAGAGAGAGAGGTGGTTGGGCAGGAGATAAGGAGCCCCAAGACCTGATTGTCGCTTTCAGTCCTCTTCTGCAAGACTTGAATTTTAAGCAAGTCTCATCAGCAATCTGGACCTAGTTTCCTTCCATGAATTTCCAAGATTTCCTTAAGAAGAAGAGATGGTTGGTTACCTCCGCAGCTGCATGAAGGGATTCCTGAGAAGAGGAATATGAAGGAATTTTCCATGACTGTGTGGATGCCCTTCTTTATATTTACAAACCCTCAGAAGGCACTTCAAAGCTCTGGGAAGTAGTTGTTGGGAAAGAGTTGTCAGCATCTTCCATAGATCATTAGCATTCCTCCCCTCCCGCCCCAGATTACATATTAAATAACCTTGGAGGGGGTCAGGTTTTTCCAAAGGATGCGGGGGATACATGCAAGGCTGAAGGTGGGCACAAAGTGAATGAAAAATCCCTCAGCACCCACCCACATCAACACCAACCCACCCCTGCTGGACTAGGAAAATGATTTCCAAGGGGCTGTAACCTACACAATAGGTTTCAAATGGTTCTCAAATAGGATGGATTACAAACCTTAAGGAGCAGGATACGAAAGGAGAGGGGAAGACTTGACCAGAGACTGAGAGAAAATGCCGAGACACTGAAGGGATCTTTATGTATATAGTTTTGATCCAAAAGCATAAACTGTCCCAGTTCACTCATCAAATCGCTTAATTCAAATTTTGCATTGTGGATTCATAGAATGTTCAAAGTACAAAATTTTGAAATGTATTATTTGAATAAAACATAGAGTAGAATCCTTTGTTCATGAACATTTTAGAATCACGATCGTAGGGATTCTAATCTCGGCATGCTCACGCTTCGTATAGTGCACAGGTGTAGTTTGGTAGCAGGAAATTTTGAGAAAGAGGAATTGGAATCATAGAAGAATGGGTTCACGGATACAAAACATATGAGGGCCAAGAAATCCTGCAACAAGGAGGCTTCTAACCATAGTCATGGAGCTTAAAAGTAGAGAATATTAAAGTCATGGGACCAATCATTAAACATACTATCACAAATAAGAATTATTAGAATTAGAATCTTTGCATTACAGAATAGTGGATCCAGTACTAACTCTTTGTAATTTAGGAAGAATAAAGTTGTGAATTTATAGGACCCAAATCTTCCAATTAGACATTCCTAGGCAAAAATTTAAATTATGAAACATTTATCTTAGAGATGCAAAAGTATCTAAAAACTAGGAAGAAGTAGCTCCCAGCAGCAGCATATTTTCATGCACAAAATCTTAGTCCCAGCATCTTAAAATATGAGGAATATGCTTTTATACTTTTACCAGAGGCTTAAAGTCATAGGAATATAATCACAGTAAAAGAATTTAGATTTCTGGCCATGGAATCTTAGAATTACAGAATCTCACTCTTTGATGTGGAATCATGTTACAATGGTGGTCCAGAATTTAAAATGTAGAAATCTTAATCTTAGAATCTTGGAAATAGAGAAACACAAAGTCCAGTATTAAAAAATTATTATGATGTGATCCGGTTAAAACAAAATTTTTAAAAACGTTTTTCCTGCTTTGACAAAACGTAACAGGATGAAACCTGGATTTCCGTATCTTCGCAAGAGGGAAGCAGGTTGTTTTGCAGGATGAAACCTGGACTCCGTATCTTCGTTACTTTGTAAGAAGGAAGCAGGGAGTTTTGTTGAGCGAGTGAAAAAGCCTCTCTCCAGACGTTCGAGCTGAGGAAAGTGGTCATGCAAACCGGGCAACTGCTTCCACACCCGGATCGGCAGAGCAAGGATCTGGGCTCTTTGCTTTCTTCCTAGGGCAGCTGCCCAGTGCTTGGACCCAGCTTACCACCACCAAGAATGCAACTAAAAACCCAGAAGGAGGAGCCGACAGCGCTCTCGTGGCTCGTTCCGCCTTGCCTGCAGCCACAGCCCCGCGGAAAGCTGCGTCCCGGCTGGAGCCTCTGCAGTTGGCACCAAGGCCCGGAATCCTACGGATAGAAGGGCCTTCCCAGATCCGCACGTTCCCTCCGGCCCCCAATTCACAGAGGTGAAAACTGAAGCCCTGCGACGAAGAAGGGACAGGCCCAGGGTCTCCCCGCAGAAGACCTTAAAGCGAACTCAGGCCAGCGGGGATGCCGCAGCAAGAAGTCTCAGGCCAGAATGTCGCCCCGGGGGCTGGCAGGAAACGAGCTCATAAACCGCACACCCTCGAAGCAAAAGGGCCCCATCTGCCCGCCCCTTCCCTAAAAGACGCGTCACCAGGAGCACCCCCTGCCGCCAGCCCCTGGACGCCACCTTTCGCAGCCCTCAACAGCCCAGGGGGTCTCGGGAGCCACCTGGAGCCCTCCCTGGCCTAGGAGAACTAGAGGAGGAGGTTACCGCGGGAGGGCAGAAAGCCCGGCCGTCAGCCTCTAGGCCGCGCGCCACGCTCCATCATACAGAGAGGGGTCCCGAGTCACCCAAAGACAGATGACTGGAGTTGTGTGTGTGTGGGGGGACGTTCTCTAAATATCAGTAACTAAAGGACTCCAGGTGCAAATCCTCCGTACAGTCAAGGAACCTGAGCCCCAGAGAAGGATAGTGGCTACCTCCAGCACATAGCGGCGAAGCGCAGTCCTAACAGTTTGGCGACGAAGTCGCCGTGGGGCCGGGGCATGTCACGTTCCCGATGGGGCCCAGGAATCCTTGACTGAAAGATGAGGGGCTGGATGGGGCATGTGCAGGGCAGCCTTGACTGGGGTTTGAAAGTCATCCTTTAAATCCCTGGTGGCCAGTCACGTGGAACGTCTCCGTTCCCCGTCCCCCAACTCACAAGAACCGAGCGCCCCCTCCGCCAATTCTCACCCTCTCCGGACATAAAAGTGGGGCGAGACGTTCGAGTCGCAGCCCTCTGTAGAGGGTGGAAGTGCTGAATTCTGGCGCCGAGGTCGCCCAAAACGGTCCCAGGCCTCTCCCGGCCTCAGTCTCCCCATAGGCGCGAAGAGGAGGCCGGTCAAAGGGATCTCCAAGCCCTCCCCGCTCTGACATTGCGGGACGCCCGTTGCGCCGCCACAGCTGCTCCTACCTGGGGAGGTGCGCCAGGGCTCGAGGGGCGGGCAGGCGGGGGGCGGGCGGGGAACGGGCACCGCCCCGAGCGCCCCGGCGCCTTTAAGGAGGAGAAACCGGCGGAGGGAGGAGCCGGTCCGGGTGTGTGCAGGGAAGCGCCTCGCTTGCGGTCTTGGAGGCTGGGGGCCAACGCTGCGGAGATGAAGTCGCGGGCTGCCCCGCTTGGCTCGCGCTGCGACCTCGCCGCTAGCGCCTTGCCTCCTTGCCCTCCCAAGCTTCAGCGCCTAGGCGGCCCCCACCAGGGTGCCCCACGCCGTCACTAAGTGCCCTCGCCTCATCGGGCCCGCAGCCTCCTCTGCGCGCACGACCTCGGCGGTTGGTCTCAGAGCAGCGAGAAGCCCAGACCAACTGCAAGCGTCCCAATCGCAGAACCGCTTCCAGACCCCTTGACCGCCTTGCACCAGCGCACAAAGGACCATTCGGCCCGCGACTGGGGCCCAGTTCCAGTCCCAGCTTCGCTGTTGGCTCCTGGCCTCGAGTTCCAGAACACGAGCAGAGCCGTCGATGGGCGGGACACGCCTGAGCCTCTGTCCGCGCTGAGCCAGCTCAGAAAACGCGGGCGCCAAGCCTCCAGCACGCTCCTGCCGGGAAGGACCAGCTCGCGAGCACCCCCTGAGCTCTCCAGATAGGAGCCCAGCGTCCATTCCCGTGACCCAGCGTCCCGGGCCCCGCAGCTCCCATCCGCCCGGCCCTCGACAGCAGCGGGCGGGCAGGGACGCCCGGGGACGCGGGACGGCTGCGCCATGACGGCCGAGAGCGGGCCGCCGCCGCCGCCGCCGCCGCCGCCACAGCCGGAGGCGCTGGCGGCCGTGAAGGAGGAGCGCGGTGAGGCGGGAACCGGGGTCCCTGCGGAGGCCGCCGGCCGAGGTGCGGGCGGGCGGCGGCGCAAGCGCCCCCTGCAGCGCGGGAAGCCGCCCTACAGCTACATTGCGCTCATTGCTATGGCCATAGCGCACGCGCCAGAGCGCCGCCTCACGCTGGGCGGCATCTACAAGTTCATCACCGAAAGATTTCCCTTCTACCGCGACAACCCCAAAAAGTGGCAAAACAGCATCCGCCACAACCTCACGCTCAACGACTGTTTCCTCAAGATCCCACGTGAGGCCGGCCGCCCGGGCAAGGGCAACTATTGGGCGCTCGACCCCAACGCCGAGGACATGTTCGAGAGCGGCAGCTTCCTGCGCCGCCGCAAGCGCTTCAAACGCTCGGACCTCTCCACTTACCCGGCCTACATGCACGACGCGGCTGCGGCGGCTGCCGCTGCCGCCGCCGCCGCCGCCGCTGCCGCCATCTTCCCAGGCGCTGTGCCCGCTGCGCGCCCGCCTTACCCGGGCGCCGTCTATGCAGGCTATGCGCCGCCGTCTCTCGCCGCGCCGCCTCCGGTCTACTACCCCGCCGCATCGCCAGGCCCATGCCGCGTCTTCGGTTTGGTGCCGGAGCGGCCGCTCAGCCCAGAACTAGGTCCTGCAACGTCGGGGCCCGCGGGTTCCTGCGCCTTTGCTTCCGCTGGCGCCTCCGCCACTACCACCGGCTACCAGCCTGCCGCCTGCGCGGGGGCGCGACCAGCCAACCCCTCCGCTTATGCGGCCGCCTACGCGGGCCCCGACGGCGCTTATCCGCAAGGGGCTGGCAGCGCCCTCTTTGCTGCTGCTAGCCGATTAGCTGGGCCTGCCTCGTCCCCCACGGGTGGCAGCAGTGGCGGCGTCGAGGCCGCAGTGGACTTCTATGGACGCACATCACCCGGTCAGTTCGGACCGCTGGGGCCCTGCTACAATCCTGGTGGGCAGCTCGGAGGAGGCAGTGGAGGCGCCTACCATACTCGCCATGCGGCCGCCTATTCTGGCGGGGTGGATCGGTTCGTATCTGCTATGTGAGCCGAGCATACGCTCGAAAAGCAATAAATACCTCGGCTGTCCACACGAACTGAGTATCCCTGAGACCTGAGGACAGGACTGGAGAAAAGCCTGAATTGAGAGGCACGTGGAAGGAAGTGGGCAGGAAAGGCGCAGACGTGGGGCGCAATGCGTACACAGCCGGTTCGCTTTGTAGATGGGAAGAGGCAGCTGAGGCCGATGACTGGGACAAAGGACCCTCAAGGAGGCGAAGCTCCACAGGACATGACTTTATGAAATCTACCCGAGAGGGTACTTGGCAATAAAGAGGGCCCAGCATAGTGCTATATCAGCGTGTAGGATCCGAATCGTGGGGAGCCACATGGCTTCACTCTTCCCGTACTGAGCGAAACTCTGGCCTTTTTACACAGTTAGGCCTTTTGGGCCTTTATGTTACCACAGTAAGAGGCTCCCATAGTACCTTTCTTCTTAAGGTGAGGAGGACAAGTTTGCAAAAGAAGTAACGCCTCTTTTTTTTTTAATGGGAGAAATCCGCTTTGCTTACCTGGGTCTGGTTTCCCCTGCCTCTGAGACCTGCAGATCTGACTCTGTGTCTGGACTGTGTTTCAGCTCCATAGTGTGACCCACTCCCATTACCCACACCTTCAGTCTCCCCTTCTGTTATACAAAAGGGCTTCAGGATTTGACACTCTTAACATATGATCTTGAAAGCCCCCATCACCTTGCATGCTGCCCTATATACACCCAGGGCTTAACTGTATTCCAAGGAATCAGAACAGAGCAGCACATGGCAAGCAGCTAACCTAAAGTCTCTGGACTAGCTCCAGGCAGTGATTATATCATAATTTCATGGACCTTTTGAACACGATGTAGTGAGCATTTGGCAGTTATTACCGTGAGGTCATAAATGCGGTTTTCCAAAGAGGCAAGGAGAAAGACATTTGTCAGTTGTCCACTCTTTCTTTTCATGAAGAAGCCATGGACCCAATGGGCAAGCTGCAGTTCAAAGAGATGACAGGACTCAGAGGGGAACCCACTGGTAACAGTTTATCAGACTGACTTTTCCATCCCTGGCACCCTCTCCCATACATCAGCAACTTGCCCATGCATTAAAAGGAAAGAGAAAAATTAATTGGGGAGGTTGGTGAAGTAAGCTTTAGAAAAAAACTTGATTTTTAACTTTTTGTCCATTTGTTTTTAAGCAGCAAGCTGACCCAAATCAGACAAAATCCAACTACTTCCCCACATTTTTCTTGTGAAATGTTTTAGTTTTAATTTAGAGTGAAAATTTCCAGTGTTAAATATTTCAGAGGCTCAATGTGCAGCTTTCAGATAAACCTCCACGTTCAGATGAAACCTTTAATAAAAATCTTCGAGCAAGTGAGTTCTGGCAAGAGAAATTTGGCCTCTTTCTGCGAAGTTAACTTGCTAGGGAATGGTGGGGGGCTGTGTGAGAAAGAAGACTGAAAACCACTAGTAATTTTTATTTTCCATTTTGGGGATTGCACTATCCTGTTCCCATGAGTGTGATTCAGTCCAGACGGGTGTTCGTCTAAAGCAGTGCTAATAGAAATATAATGTAAGATACACGTGTAATTGAAAATTTTCTGGTAGCTACATTAATGAAAAGAAACAGGTGAGATTAATTTTAATAATATATTGTATTTTACCCAATATACCCAAACTATCATTGCAACATAAAATGAGTATAAAAATTGTGATATCTTACTTTTTTTGTACTAAGTCTTTAAAATCTGGAGTGTATTTTACAATTACAGCTCATCTAACTTTGGACTAACTCAATGCCAAGTGCTCAATAGCAGGGTGTGAGCTGAAGGCTGGGCCTTTCTAATTTTGGTGGTGGTAAATGACCACCTGGGCGCAGGAGGCAGCTGGAGCTCTGACCTTGCAGCCAGCGGGTCCAGATTACAGCCCATCCCCCCATGACCTTGGAAAAGTCTAGGTGTTGGGCCTCCCTTCTCCATACGGACTATTACAGGTATAAAATTCAAAGGTTCTCCATGTGCGGCTAGACAGTCTGGCTCTTCCAGACAGAAGTCAGAATGCCTTGCCTAGCAAGTTATTCCCTAGCAAGTTATCGGCAGTCACCAGAAATGGAGAGCCGTCCACCCAGAGGTTTTGCCCTTGGCTGTCAAGAGTCAGAGAATCTGGGCCAGAGAAGGACGTCTATGTGTCCAGTTAGTGCGGGAGTTGATCCTTTCTCTGCTCTTAAATTACCAAGTGGAGCGCTTTGACAGCACCATTAACCTTAAGCCAGCCCCTTCTCCTCTAGTGTCCTCATTTGTGGATAGGAATTTGTGACCCCTACCTCATAATAGTCCTCCTGAAGTTAAACGAGACAAGAGAGGTGAAAAACACCTTGTAAACTGTAAAGCGCAGGGTAATGGAGGGAGCAAAGGCTTTAAAATGAAAATCCCTGCCTTATCCCCCAGACTCCTGGGGCGTCGCAGTAAAGCCCCAGGAACGAAAAAATAGAGGTGGAAAATTGCACGCGTCTTCGGCCCCCACCCTCCAAAACTAGGATGGCAGGTGATTTCTGTGCCCGGGGAGAGAGGATGCGGCGACGAGGGAACTGGATTTGTACAGCAGACGTCAGGGAGACGGGAGAGTGTTGGGATCAAGGCACTGAAGGCAATCAGCCCTTCTCAGCCTCCCGCCGCCGGCCAGTGCCAGCCAAAGCCCAAGCGCCCCCCGGGCCTGGCCACAATGGACGCTGCGCAGACCAGTGAGCGCCCCTCGCGCTTCACCCACGCCTGGGTCACGGGCAGAACCTCCAGTCCGCGTGACTCTCGAATTAGTAGAACATTTCACTGCCGCTGTCTTGGAACATTCCAACTCTAGGAATCTCCAAACTGTGGAACAGGACCTCCCAGTTCTCCATCTGGGGGCTCAGAGATGGGAGGTGCGTTTCTCTCTCTTTTTTTTTTTCTTCTTCTTCTTCCTATTATGAAACCCGAAAAATTGTTTGCCCCTATCTGGGCCCTGCACCCCCAACGTCGTGTGCAGGCGTCCTGGGGCTGTGGGTAATTAGATGCGTTCTTTCCTAATTGCCCAAGGCTCGTTAGAATTTGCCCCAGAGCTGTAACATTTATTTTCTTTCAAATTAACTTTGCTTGCAATTAAGCTTAGGAAAACAGCAACAAAAGCAGGCTTGGCCCAAGGTTGTTTACTACGAAATAGCATAGGGAACCTCCTTCCCCAAAGGAAAAGATTCCTGCGGCCAGCGCTTTGGGGAAAGTGTCCCCACTGCACAGGCAAAGGGGGCGCAGAAAGCTGCTCCCAGTGGTTGTTGATCCCAGTGATTGTTGAAGGTGTTGGCCTTGCTCCTCAGCTCCATGACTCGTGGGCCCCAAAGAAGTTAACCTCCTTGAAATGAATTTGGGATTTGAGCTGAACTACACCCCCACAAATGAAGCTGCTGTACGTAGTTTCCTCGGCACATTCATAAAAAATGATTTACTAAGAACTTTGTGAGAATTTTCTTTTATTACAAAATTGGTACACATTCAATTGTAAAAAGAGAGAGAGAAAGTTAGAAAGAAAAAGAAGAAATCAGAAGAACCCAGTTTGCCCAGGGAAAGTACAGCAAACATCTCCGTGAGAATCGTTTCTAGTTTTCGTTTCTGTTTTTCCTGTGCAGGAAGCTTGAGTCTCCACTTATTCACTGAAATGCTGTAAGATCTTGAACAAGCTCCACCTGGGACTGGGTAGGCCTCAGTTTCACCATCTACAAAACTAGGTGGCAGGTCCTCTTTCACCCTCACATTCTCGAATTCTTGCTGAGGTCATTTGAATCCAGGATGCAGTTTTCCAAGAGCCAGGAGAGAAGCTCAGAGCAGGAGGCATGCCCTCTCAGCCATTTTACACAAGAGACTAAGGCCCTGAGGCCTTGCAACTCTACGTGTGTGGGCCATAGACCAGCTGCATGGACGTCCCCTGGGAGCTTGCTAGAAATGCACAATCTCAGGCCCTGCCCCAGATCTACTGGATCAGAACCTACCTTTCAACAAGACCCTCAGGTGATTCATATGCCCTGGGCAAAGAGGCAGAACTTCAGAGAAATGGAAAAAGAAAATGTGTTATGTGACTGAGATCACAGTCCCCAGAGTAACTTTGAGAGGCCTCCTGTTTCTGACCAAGAACCCCAACAAGTGATACAGTGCTACCTTGTGACTCTGGCTGCAGAGAGGAGAGAGGGCTGGGTGGCAAGGGGACACAGCTGGTGTGGAGCGCCTCACTTCCTCCCTGGGTGCACCTTCTGAGCCTTGGAATCCTAGTCCTTAGGATACATCTCACCTCATGTTCCCAGTCTATGGGTGACTCTGACAGTGACATGCAGTGAGAGTTTATCTGATAGCATCTTGAAAGCTGGGGTGCCAACTAGAGCCAGGCTAGGAACCAGGCTCCTGACTCCTAGCTGAAGCACTTTGGAAGCTTGGGTTCTGGTCTCCACACCCTCCCTATGCAGCGGTCATTTGCCCAAGTATGAAGAACTTGGCTGCTGATCCCTCAGCTCCAGCCCCAAGTCTGAGGTAGTTGAGGGTTTAGGAGGAAAATGAAGCTCTCTTCTCAGGACACAATAGCCAGAAGGAAGGGGCTTCTATCTCTGAGTCTGTCTGAGCAGAGGGATGCTCTAAAGAGAGCATTTTATGTGCCCCTTGGTCAGCCCAAGATCCTGGGTGCCTAACGAATCCTCCTCCACCCCAAATACATACACACACCTCTTAATAACTTGGTTTCTGTTCCCAAGAAATGCTGACACCTGGGTGGGGGTTGACATGACACAGTAACTGGGAAAAAAACGTCCCTGAGGAAAAACAGTTCAGACATGTAGGGGGAATGTACCAGGAAGAACAGGGCTGGAGTCCAGACTGGGCAAGCACTCCACCCAGGATCACACAGCAACTCAATGGGAGAACCAAGACTCATCTTAGCACTCACGTGAGTTAATAATAGGAATAAACAGTAATAGTGTGAGTGTGTGTAGAGCTTCTGTAGAGCTACAGAAGCGACACGTGGCTTACCCAAGATCTCATAGCTGTGAGTGTCCAAGCTGCACTAGAACATATGCCTCCTCTCAAGGGAAACTGCATTTGATTATTGTCTAAATAAAGGCGATGTGGAAATGGAAGTCAGTAGATGGGGTGAAGATGGGCATTGGGGGTTGGGGGTGGAGTGCAGCTTGGGGGACTTGTCTTTTATTGTATAGATGGGTAAACTGAGATCAGGACTGGTTAAATAGCTTAGAACTACCTAAACAGAAACCGGTGTGGCTAGTGCTTCCCAGCCCAAACTGAGCACCGAACTAAACAGGCTGGGAAGGAGGAGGATAGAAGGTACTTAATGAGTTTGGGTCTGGTTTCTCCAGCATCTCTCCACACTTGAGACTGAAACTGGCCTTTGCAAAGCTAATTTCCAGAGTGGCCCTAGCTGTCTACCTCAGGGCCGAGCTCCCTGTGCCCTCTGCCAGCCCCAAAATTCCTCTTCTGAGAGCTGAGCCTCAGATCCAGCTCGGCCCACAGGGGTTAACCAGGTGCATAAGCACGTAGTCAGGGAGGCCCAGGGATCAGCTGTCAGTCCCTCCCAGGGTAAGGAAGAAGAGATTGGGAAGCTGGAATCAGGGTGGATCTCCACCCTGGTGTAGAGCACCAGTTTATCTTGATATCTGAGAAGCTGAAGCAGCTTCTCTCCAAGAGAGTGGGCAGAAAACAGCCTCAGCCATGGTTTCTCAGGCATGGAGACACTCAGTAACCAGAGATAAAGTGTGAGAACCACAGCCTCATAGAGACTTAACTCTCCGCCCTACTCTCACTCCCAGCAGCCAGCCACTGTCTCCCCATGGGTGCTTCTTTCTCCTCCCTCCATCCACTGTCAGTTTCACTTCCTGAAGCTGAGCTCCAGTCCTCTGGGAGCAGGCTCCCTGCTGTCTGCAGCAGGAAGCCCAAATTACTCCTCACCTGGTACTTAGGACCCTCTATGATTCCTATGCCAACCCTCTTCCCAGCCTCATCTCCCATAGCTGCTCTTGCTGCACCATTAGGCTCTAAGCTGCTTTTCCCCAGACGGCCCTATGTGTTCCTGTCACCATGAACTGCTCTGTCCATTACCTTTCCAGGAACCACCTAACCTCATTCTATCTGGGTACCTCCAAGGCCAACCCAGTCGGAGCTTCTATCATCTCTCTCCTGGATCATAGCACCAACATGCTAACAGGGCTCCCTCCATTGCTCCCCCCAGTTGTTCCACACAGCAGCCAGTGTGTGACCCAGCTTGAACATCAATGGATTATGTCACTCTCTCCCAGGTCCAAATCTCAGGACCAGGGAATGAGAACAGGAGCATGATATGTCCATAAACAGCCTTGCAAAGGGTTTCTTACACTATGAGAAAGTTATATTTAATATGAGCATTTTCAAAATTTCCCCCTCCCATGTTAATCACTTTCCTTTTACCCTAAATTTTCATCAAAGCCTTTTACAACTATTCAACCTTGTATGAAGTGTGGTCTGTCCACATTTTCTCTGCACTGGTTCTTAAAAGAAAACAGTGTCCTATCATGGGGACTGGATACAGGGGTCTTGATGGTGGAGCTGAGAGCACCAAAATGGGGCATACTGAAGACAACCATAAAGCAATACATGCTCTTTTTGGTATATATCCATGAAGAGGGTGTGCCAGACATTGTTAAGTTGTCTACCCAACCATTTCCCCCATTCTTTGCTCAAAGACCCTGATTTTGTTCAGATTTCAGTTGGTCCTGGGGAACTCTTATCCCTTGGGGTATGCCTGGGCTCAGTCTGGACTTTCTAAGGTAAAGGCAGTGATGATTCCATCACTCTTGCCAGTGATTATTTAGAAATGGGCACATCATACTTTCCAGGCCAATGAGATGTCCAGAAAAGTCTGCCAGAGGATTTGGGAAACATTTCTTTGTTCCTAAAATGAGACAGGGAAAGAGAAACAACCCCTTTCTTCCTCTGAATATTGTTTGATTGTAACTCCTGCAAGTGTGTCAGCCATGTTGGACCCAGAAGGTGCCAGCCTAAGAGAACAAACCAACCTGCTGAGGATGGCAGAACAGAAAGGTAGAAGAAGGTAGGCATCTGGGTGTCTGATGACATCACTAAGCTGCTGAAAGAACAAACCCTGGAACAATTCACTATAACTGTAGGTGCCTGTTGTTAGGAGAAAACAAATGTCCCCTGAGTTTAAGCCTCTTTTCCTTGGGTTTTCTGTTACTTGCAGCCAAAGAGATCCTGATACAGAAGGTGACCCTTACAAGGCAGGCAAAAGCTGATCCTTGGTTTATTCCCTGTGAGATGTTTTTGTTACTCTTATAAATAGTGCAGCTGTTCCACCCTAGTTTTATAAAAGGAGAAACCAAGGACTGGGGAAGGGGAACTTTCCATGGTCACAGAGTGAGCTAACATCATAATGGACCCAATGCAGGGCTCTCACCACACCATTGCTCTTCCCCAGCTTCAAGTGGCTCAGCAGTAGCACAGCTGACTGACTGCATCCCTGACATTATCAAAGAGTGGCTGTTCAAGATGTCCCAAGCACTTCCACATATGTTATCCTTTGGAGCCTCACTATTGCCCTTGGAAGCAGCAGGTCTCAGCTGTGTTTTTTCAGATGTAGAAACTAAAATTGCAGAAGAGAGGACAAACCCAAGGTCACATGACCTCTGCATGGGAGGGACTCAACCCAGGTGTAAAAAAAGTCCATAGAAAAATGAATCAGATGCCCAAAGATTTTTCCTCCCTGGATATGGGAATTGGAAAACTTGCTTTTGGGTCTGATTGGAGCTCTAGGGAAGTCCTCTCTCTTTGGGTCTCTGAATAGAGTGGACCCTCCATGCCCCTGACTATCTTTGAACTTTTGTTCATGGCTTAATTTTTATCATCTCCACAGGGTGTGTGAGGCTTAAAGATAATGTTTGTGAAGTGTGCAGGTCTGGTTGCTTCAGATCCTACAAAATGGGATGGTTAGTGCCAAAGCTGAAAGGGACTGGTGGTTGGTTAAAACAAGCCTTACCACTGTGGACAGTGGCTCCTGTCACTGCACCCCAACCCTCCCAACTTGAGCCTATGTCGGTCCCACTAAGGCAAAAGCTGCAGGAGCAGGCCCATAGTTTACAGAACACCTGGGGGAGGCTGTGGGCAGCTGGGTAATTTCCAATTTAATTGTAGGAGAAACCTAACAAAACAATCTACAGGTTAAGCATCCTGGGAGCTCTGCCGTGAGACTGACAGCCTGGAATCCAGCAAGTACAATGCCACCAACCACAGACAGGAGGGCCCTTCCTCCTTGTGGGGAGGAGGGCTGACTTCCTTCCAACAAGGGCCCGTCTGGGCCTGTAGTGGGCCTGATAGGAGAGCAAAACCCCAGAACTGAAACAGTCTTTCCACCCAAATCCCAAACTACAAT